CAGATCATTTGAAGGGTTGCTTTTGCGTGACAGTGCGTTTTCTGTTTACGAGGTGATTGCCAGATAGTGGATTCTTTTACCATTTGGAAAGATGACTTACTATTGTAACGGTGCGGCCCGATGTATAGCGTTTTCTACAGCAGAGAAAAGGGAGCCGCTTTAGACTTAGCATACGCAAGAAGGTGTTTTCGCGCAGTATGAACTACAGTAGAAAAATCCTCTCCGACGCTGTATTTTGTGCACTTGAATTAGCGGCCACAGAAAAGGACTGCGGATTTAGCCTTGTAGAAGGTAAGCTTAATTTTTATAGGACGACGTCGGTTTTCGCTGAATTTACCTAGACGGTGTGCACGGTCGATGTCCTTGGGATCTACACTAGCGGCTAAGTGATTGCGACAGATGTCGATAATTACTTGCTCCGACTGGGCGAAGCTTTCTTTTGTGATTATTTAAGGAATAACATATAAATTAAGTTATTTCGGCGCGAATGATTTTCCGCTTCATCTATACATGTGTTATGAAAACGGCTTTGTAGTAAGCAGAACACATTTAGTAAAATTTATCACTGACCTATTACAATTGCTTACATCAATACTATTTTGTGATCCATCAACCGGTATGTTCTCCTGCATTAGCACTTTTTTACCTTGTACCTTGAAGGACTTTTCGTAGAATGAAAATTAAGCAAATGTTCCAATTTGTTTGATATTTTGTTTGATGTAGGTTGTGAGGTAGTTAAACGTTCATTTACCATGGTTCGTTCGTGTTCGTTGTGGACGGCATAAGCTTTGGCGGATGGCATAACTGTGCTTTGTAGCTCTTTAGTTGTGCTTGTACAATTTGCTGCTGTATATGATTTCAACCAGTTTCATGTACTGAAGGGAACAGCGCAATAAACGGGACGGAGAAAGAATGAACACACGACCGAAGCACTGACGAACAACTGTGTGTGAATATATTACGCCTGGAAATATATTGCTGAAAACAGAAAACATTGCGCGAAATTACCGAGGCTTTTCATACTGACTTGATTCCCAGAAAAGACAAGCGGGTTAGGGGGAGACAGAAGGTTAGGTGGGCAGGTGAGATTAGGAAGGTAGCGGGTATAAATTGGCAGCAGCAAGCACAGGACCGAGTTGACTGGCGGAACATGGGAGAGGCTTTTTGCCCTGCAGTGAACGTAGTCAGGCTGATGATGATGATGTTACGATGTGAATGATGATGATGATAATTTATATCAGACTTAAGGAAACATGTGCGTCAATGAGCGTTCACTCACGCTCCTGGAATAAAGATAATGTATTTGAGTAGTTAATTCGCACATTTCGACTCGAGGCAGAATCGCTTTTGCCTCTCACTCCTATGTGCAAGTGATGGTTTTTGTTTTTGTTTTCCGCTTTCAGCTATATATTTGCAGGTGTAATAATTTACACACAGTTGTTTCGTCAGCGTTTTGTGTCGTGTGTTCATTCTTTCCCTTTCCCGTTTTTTTTGCGATGTTCTCTTCAGTATAATGTACCATCTGGCTCTTCAGGAAATCCTTCTGCAATTTTCATGTAGTTGACTTAATCAGCACGAAGCACATTATGTCTTTGAAATAGAGGTGTTGTCCTCCAGTTTGCGTGATTTCTTTTGTGGCTGAAATACAGCTGGAGAGCTTTTTATCTGTAAAAGCACAAGCTTCTCACAGTTCCTTTAGTTATCGTTTTCTACGCCAGAGCTCCGTAGCAAAGCTTAGATTGCAAAAGGCAATTGTACACCTTTTGTTTCAACCATAAAGAAAATCAGTTTAAAAATTCTGTGCATAATACCAATACTTTTGGACAGTTATACCCAGTTGGCTAATAAGTGCATTCCCGCTTAACTCTTTATTAAACGTTACTCAAATAAACTTTCGGTTTGTTATTTGTTCCAGTTTCAATCCTGCATAAGCATTGGCTATTTCCTTATCAATGGGTGTATTGCGGGACCTAAATTTAATGTATTTTGTCCTCTGAGAATCTGCCTCTGAAAATTGAATTGTGCGGCTAATGGAACGAGCGCTGATATCTGTGCCCCCCTTGGCGCTGCCTAAAGGAACCAATGCTTTTCTATCTCGTATATTCGTCCACACATAAGTGTAGGAGTGCTTTACAACTTGTGACTTCTGCTAGTTACAGATTTAGGTGGGCCGTCATAATATATCAAAAACACGACAATTCGTGTGCACTTGATGGCAGCCGTCGACGGTTTGCGTGTCACCATATATGGTGCTTTTATTTTTGTCTTTTTTGTACCTCTAAAGCTGTGCACAGGCGCATGATATATTGCACATGCCTATGTAACAACCACATCTTGGGTTTTTACGTCCAAAAACAACCATGTGTTTATGAGAGACGCCACACTGGAGGGATCATACATAGAGCTATCTAGAGTTTTTTGATTTATTTGTGGGGTTTAACGTCCCAAAACCACCATATGATTATGAGAGACGCCGTAGTGGAGGGCTGCGGAAATTTTGACCACCTGAGGGTTCTTTAACGTGCACTCAAATCTGAGCACACGGGCCCTCGACATTTCCGCCTCCATCGGAAATGCAGCCGCCATATAGAGTTCTTTGACGTCTACTGACATCGCACTGCACACAGGCGTCTACCATTTGGTCTCCATCGAAATGTGAGCAAGGCGGCCGGAATCAAACTTGCGCCTTTCGTGTCAACAGCGGAGCACTTTAGCCGTTACACCTACTGCGGCTGACTGCTGCAAATGTGGTTCATGTAGCAAGTATAAAAATGAACGGCGTAACGTCCTCAGATCGGGTGGTCGAGGTCGGCCAGGCCTGAGGACCATAGCTTAAAAATTTGCCCCGTATGTGCATGTTAATTCTGCAAATGTCGTCAAAGGCGATAGTCTTGCGTCTGCAGAGATTGAACAAAACGTTTATTTGATGTTCTACGTGAGAAAATCGGTGAAAGGTATTCTGGAGGCGCCACGTTAGAGTGCCTCGAGCGTGCAGCGGAGGCGAACGAGCGCACCAAGTCACATCAAAACGTGATACATGAGCGCTATCTGGCAGTTATCTTGGAAACCAAGCCGCGTGGCTCTTAGACGGGCGTGCGCGCCCGTATCAGAGGTGATAAGGTGTAGAACGCAAAGTGACGGGTAAGTGCCACCACCGTGTCATCCTAGCAGAGCGTTTGAAAATACTTCCCTTTCGTGCAATCGTTTGCATAGTCAGCGGCGCGTGATAAACGCTACTGTCCTCAGAATAACTTATGTATGCCGCTTCTAGTAAAAGGCGCACATGCAGAATATATACGTGTTGTTATGGTGCCTTAGATATGCGCGATAATGCTTTGTATTTGACAATCACACAAGTATTAACGCCGAAGCTTGAGCAACATTGCTTGGCACTGCGGATGAAGTCGGCCATTTGGGGTATCAGCTGCTGCCATTTGAAATGGCTGGTAACGTTAAGGGTGGACCAAATAGACGATCGTACAGACAGACAAAAACGTTTTGTTAGAAGGTCCCCAAGAAAAGCTATCCTCTTTAAAAAAGCAAGGATGACTTAATTAGAGGCCCTACCTTCCAGCCACAAGACGTGTGTGGCAGTGATATCATCAAATTTGGTCTCACAAAATTGGCACATCAACCATTTGTAAAGTGGTTCATTTGTGCCCCGAGACTGGCCTCAGCTCCACACTGCATGCATTCGTATGATCTCTCGATCACTGACTTGTCGGCCTTTAGCTGTTACTGATACGACCGTATAACGTCTTGTCTAGATCAGTCGTCATTTTAATTTGTCTCAATTGTTTTCACCATGATACGAACACTGACCAACACTCCCGTTCAGGCTACGAGACGTGATTGATTAAGCATATTTCAAACTGCACTGGCGCACACTGATACCACCTCTGCAACGTATCAAGTTTTTTGTTCGCCAAAGATATTGACACAAAATAAATACAAACAGAATGATAGAAAGAATAAACTAGCAGAGACAATATCAGACATGGTCACAGCGCATACACAAAAAACACTGACTGATAGGGTGCAAGAAAGAAGCAGCGGCAATAAATACTTGTTAACCAACGTAGTGAGATACGCAGGGACGAAAAATGACAAAGACAACCACCCGCTTGAGAATAAAGAAAGAAAAGTAGCAAACACTGGCACGCACAGCCCAAGCATTGCTCCTCATTTTCTTCATAGAAGAATATTGAATTTTGTGTCTTCCTTCGCCCTCTCGAAACTTCAAAAAATACTTTTGAGAGAATACAGATAAGTATATTTACATGTGAATGATAGGCAAATAAGGTTTTGTTACGACAGCTTCGCCCGACCAGCTATGATTCTAACTGAAGTAGTACACACGCAAAGTCAAATTCGACCGCTATCGCACTTTATAGGCCAATCAACAGACCACATGAGTGCGCTGTCTGCACCACATGAGCAGGAGGTGACTAAGGCAGTTTATCTCTAAATGTTTCCTTTTTAAAACACTTTCTAGATTTTTCTTGTTTTAAATATTCTGTCTCGCGATTGTCATAGTACGGTCTCCCTTCGTCACACAACCGCTCTTTAGCTCTGAGTTTATTTGCGCAACGTGGGCGTATATTCCCGATATGAGAAGTGGGAACCAAGGGTTGGCTTCAAGCCCGACTGCAAGACTTATCAGCATGACAGCAGTCTTGGAAACCACCACTTCGATAAAAAAAATGACGTTGTTCTGCGCTCCAACAGGTTGGAAGTTGCCCTGACTCTTGAATCGCTGAAGGTGCATACCGCCATGCTCACCTCCGACACAGCGATGCACAGTGGTTGGTTTTCGAATGAGTTAGACGGAGACCACTGAGCTTTGCAGAGCCCCTTACGTCGTACCGAGTATGCCAAGCCTGCGGACTAGTGCGCAGAGTGACGGCACTGTTGCCCTGTCTACACGTTTACTGCAAGAGCTGCTTCGAACAGTGCCGCCTTGATTCCGGCCACTGCTGTCTTCTTGACGGTCAACCTGTCAGCGCAGAAGATGTCGAATGAAGAGAGTTTCCAGTGCAGAAACCTTCTCAAGCGCATGGTAAGCGAAGGGATGAACCCTCGGCTCGTATGGTAAACATCTATGTATTGTTGCAGAAAGCGCCTAACGAGGGAGTTACAACGCCCAACGAGGTAGTACAAATAAAACATTTGTACTTTCCAGTTGATACGAGTTTACGTCAGCTTATAACATTAAGATTTTTTTGATATTGCGAGCTCATTTCTTAGCCTCCCTAGCGGTAGATTTTTGCGCAATATGAAGCTGCGGCGAAGCCATGTCAATAGGGTCGGAGGTCAGGGCCTGTTTCATTTTGCCGCTGTTTAATACATGCTTACATACATGTTTATTACATGCTTTGACATTTTATGTCCGAATTTATGCTCTAATAAACTGGTGGAGTTAACAAAAATCCACCCCCTAAATACTCTCAAAAATGCACAATTATTAAGCAGCAATAGATATGACACCATGATGAAAGCTTTGGTGTGGCATACCCAGTACTGTATTTCACTGAAGTAAGTAAGAGTAAGTCCATGCAGACAAAAGAATTTGGGTTTCGAGCATACGCACTGTGTAGGGCAGTTTTCTAGTGTGTGATATCAGCGCCAAGAGAAGCATCCTTATTTCGTCGTATACGGCAAGGAAGGCAGCAGCTCGTGTGCCTCTCCCTGCTTCAGGTGGACGAAAAATAAACTCTCTAATAAGGAATGAAGGTTCATGGGTGAAAACTATACTAAGCCGTTTAACGTTAGCTACCTCCCCCATCTGTACAGTGGATGCTGCTTTACTGCCAGAAAAAAGTAGTCTTCTTGCTCTTTTTAACACGATTATATAGTGGGCAATGTCTTTCATCTGAGGTCTCTTATCTCTGAACTACTTACGGAAACAATTGAAAAAATACAAAGTATACGCGCGTAGTTTTTCTTTTCCATGTACCGAACCGACACGCGGCGTTGCGCTGAGCACGAATCTTTCAATCTACCGTGTTAAAAAACCATTGCATGCACAAAATTAAAGACTATTCTGTACTGCCACCATCTTTTCCATTGCAGTGATTGTCGAGTGTGTTCCGTTGTTGCTGCTTATTTTTGAAAATACGTCAAAGTTCCTGGTCGTAGTTTGATTGATTTGTGGGGTTTACCGTCCCAAAACCACCATATGATTATGATCTCACACTGTCACTGTCGGGGTCGGCGCGTTGCTTGTGTTCAAGAAATCACGGTGAGAGCAAGGAATAAAGATAGGCGTTAAACTTCAAACCAAATCAAGGCGTACTCCTTGGGGAGTCAATTGTCCTGTTACAGAAGCATGCTAGTGCTCGAAACTACTTAGAAAATGATCTAGAGACCCCAGGTCTCAGAAAAACGATTTCATTCAAAACAGCCGCTGTAGTGTCTATGCTGAATCTCTTGGCTATGAGAGAAGTGCTATAGGGTGTGTGTGGATCTGCATCTTTTTGTAAGTGTAGTAGTTTTGTGTACATCGTAGTTTACCAAAATGTGAAAAACACTGACTTTTAGGGGGTAACTTATGAGCTGATGTAACGTCAGGACTGACGTAGGAGCACAGGCATCGGCATTATTAAAAACGACACATTACGGTGCAATGAACTGAATATGATAGCTAACTTGCGTTTGCTTACTGCTCTGGGTCAAGAAACACTTCAATATAGCTTTACAAATCATAGGAATAAAAATGCATTGTTTAGTAGTTTAATAAACAGTGCATTTAAAAAACACAAACACATATTTATATATACATATATATATATATATATATATATATATCTATGTGTGTGTGTGTGTGTGTGTGTGTGTGTGTGTAAGGGAAAAAAAGTGTATACCTAAGGGCTCTTTTTTCCGTGTTTTTAACACAATATTTATGAGATCTAGCAGACAATATTGCCAAGGAATGTGCACATTAGATTAGATTTGTGGAGTTTAACGTCCCAAAATCACCATATGTATATGAGAGACGCCGTAGTGGAGGGCTCCGGAAATTTCGACCACCTGGGTTTCTTTAATGTGCACCTAAATCCGAGTAAACGGGCCTACAACATTTCCGCCTCCATGGAAAATGCAGACGCCGCCGCCGGGATTCGAACCCGCGACCTGCGGGTCAGCAGCCGAGTACCTTAGCCACTAGACCCACCGCGGTGGGGCGAGGAATGTACAGGGGAAGTTATTAGAACCAATAGAATGTAAATAACAAGAAAGAAAAGTGGATGAAAAAATAACCAGCCGTGAGCAGGAATCCAACCTACGACCTTCGAATAAACGCGTTCGATGCTCTAACCACTGAGCTACCACAGCGGCCCTTCCCTACATCCACTTTTTTGGGTTTATATGTGAATTTAGAAGTAGGAGTGACAGTCAGCGCCATCTATAAGCCAAACGAAGAGTGTGAAAACACTCTTATGCGCATGTTTGGGCGTCACGTAGCACGTGAACTTATTATGAGCGGGCACCTGAATAATTGACCCTCTTATACAACCTACTCACACCAAGTCTGACAGTACGAGATCCTCGTTCAATGAAATAAGGGAAAGAAGTGTATACCTAAGGGCTCGTTTTTCGGTGTTTTAACACAATATTAATGAGATCCAACAGACAGTAATGCCAAGGAATATACAGGGAAAGTTATTAGAACCAATGGGATGTAAATAAGAAGAAAGAAAAGTGGATAACAAAATAACTAGCCGTGAGCAGGAATCGAACCTACGACCTTCGAATAACGCGTTCGATGCTCTAACCACTGAGCTACCACAGCGGCCTTCCCTCCATCCACTTTTTTGGGTTTATATGTGAATTTAGAAGTAGGAGTGACAGTCGGCGCCATCTATAAGCCAAACGAAGAGTGTGAAAACACTCTTATGCGCATGTTTGGGCGTCACGTAGCACGTGAACTTATTATGAGCGGGCACCTGAATAATTGTCCCTCCTATACAACCTACTCACACCAAGTCTGCCAGTACGAGACCTCGTTCAATGAAATAAGGGAAAAAAATTGCCCGCAGCTTCCTCGGGGGAACACTGAGGAGGATGCGGGGCATATAATTGGTTAACGGGGGTGTTAAAGTGCGACTTACTTGGGTCGATGGCTAAATTGGTTAACGTGGTTGTGAAATGGGGTGTTAAATTGCGACTTACTTGGGTCGATGGCTAAATTGGTTAACGTGGTTGTAGGAGGGGGTGTTAAATGAGTGAACGCGTACACACGTATGCGAAAGGGCGGCGCTGGTCGAAGGGACGTCGATCATTGTGTTTGTGGATTCGTTGGAATTCATTTCACCGCGACTTTGGACGTCGACGCGCCGTACAAACCAACCGACGAGCGGCAACTGAGCGAGCGAGCAACGAACCTTGAGTATATATACAGCGCGACGGCGCATGCACTGTGAGCTGTCGAATGTCCGAGAAAGGAGAGAAGCGCAACGGCGCATGCGCGCGCGTCAGCTGCCGATGTTCTCGAAGCGCGACGGCGCATGCGCGCGCGTCAGCTGCCGATGTTCTCGAAGCGTGACGGCGCATGCGCGCTACATTATACAGCTAGCGAATGTTCGTGAAGAGGAGAAGCGCACGCGGTGTGTAGAGGAGGAAGGGTGCACAGATGGTGGAGGAGTGAAGCGCGCGCGGTGTGTAGAGGAGGAAGGGTGCACAGATGGTGGAGGAGTGAAGCGCGCGCGGTGTGTAGAGGAGGAAGGGATGCACAGATGGTGGAAGAAGGAGGAGGAAGCTTGCGGACGGCGCCGCACTACAAGCCTCGAGTATTAGATGCTCCGCATCTAAAAAAGTGTATACCTAAGGGCTCCTTTTTCCGTGTTTTACCACAATATTATTGAGATCTAACAGACAGTAATGCCAAGGAATGTACAGGGGAAGTTATTAGAACCAATTGAATTGAAATAAGAAGACAGAAAAGTGGATGAAAAAATAACCAGCCGTGAGCAGGAATCGAACCTACGACTTTCGAATAACGCGTTCGATGCTCTAACCACTGAGCTACCACAGCGGCCTTCCCTGCATCCACTTTTTCGAGTTTATATGTGAATTTAGAAGTAGAAGTGACAGTCAGCGCCAGACAGAAATAAAATAACGTGATTTTTGTTCGATTGTGTCCCAAATCAGTAAGGCGGTGCCTTGTCGATCGTTGTGATCACAATCTTGGTGGTCCCGCTGGCTTTGTAAGTAAAACGGTGCTTTCAGATAACGTGTCGTTATTCGTGGCGCTATGCGAGACGCAAATGGAGACGCGTCACGTTGACGCCGCTGCATAAATAGCGCTGTGAGGTGGCGGCACCCATGCTTCGACCCACGAAGGAGGGGCGTGAAGGAACAAGCCTGAAAGACTCGTAATAATGGAGAGGGACACACGTCTATCGCATCTCCTGGCGAGAGTGCTAGGAAGCACACGTGACGCAAGCAGCCCTACCTACCCCTCATGCAATGCCGCATTACGACCACTCCTTAAAGTAATGCGAACCAACGGGTCTCATGTAAAGCGCAAGTTTGCACTGACATTGAATGAAGTTAAGGAGGTACTGGTCAAAACTCTCTTACTCTTTCATAGCAATTTACTTTCCAGCAAGCTAAGGAGGCAATCACAGGCACGACGACGTGGATGGATGGATGGATGGATGGATGGATGGATGGATGGATGGATGGATGGATGGATGGATGGAAGGATGGATGGATGGATGGATGGATGGACGGATGGATGGATGAAGATGGATGGATGGACGGATGGACGGATTGGACTGATGGACGGACGGACGGACGACGGACGGACGGACGGATGGCACAATGCAGCACAAACGCTTTTCGAACGCGCTGCCTTAATATGGTGGCTAAATAGTGAAGTGAAGGAGCGTTACTGAATAGGGGTCAAGTTGGATGTCGTTTCTTAGCCTGGACCCATGACAATAACCGCTGCCATGCGCGCCAAGTGGCTGGCACTGGGCCAAAAAGGCGCCGTAACACACCTATGTACAAACGCTCCTTCCCTTCAACTTCACTCGCCGCCGCCTTAAGGCAGGGCGC